CGCACCGCGTGCCCCGCGCGGTGGCCCGCTGGGGGTGTCCAGTGTCGCCTGGCGTTGGAAAAGGCAGGTAGGCATGGGGGCCGCCCACTTTAGGTGAGTCGGTGCTGCACGTCGCGCAGCACATGTGAGGCCGGCGCCTGTTTCCTTCTCCTTCTCCTTTTTCCGTTTTTCCTCCTCCCCTCTGCCCCGTCGGATGTCGACGGTCTGCTTTCCCAGGCGCACTGGTGGGGCGTTTGGCCTCACATTTCGGGGAGCTGTCTGGGGTAGGTCGCGCTGACCCAGCTGTCTCGCAATTTGCGTCGCAAGAGGAAAGGGAGGAGGAGGAGGAGGAGGAGGAGGAGGACCAGTGGAAACCCAACGGTCATCAACGATGTTGGAATCACCCCCCCCGTAAGCTCCCTCTTCATAGGCCCCTACAGCGGTTCATCTCCATTGAGGGAACTGCCTTGCTGGAAGACAACAGTTCGAAGATCTTGCAGCGTGCCGGAACATTGTTCTTGGGATTTCAACACCACGTATGAATTTGATTGTTGCGTCTTGACGATCCAGAGTCCTGCCAGCACGCTGTTTCTGGGACTTCGACACAGCGAATCAACATAACTACTGCGCTTGAGAAATCCTGGATCTTTCCAGAACGCCTTTTTTCTGGTGCGTTGACCATGGGAGCCCGTGAAACTCTTGCAAATGTTTGACACGACTGTGCGCGGCGCTAATGCGAAAACCACATTTCGAAAACCACCCGCACTCAATTCGTGAAATTGTTGCAAATGTTTAAAAACGATTGTGCGCGTCGCTGGGGCGAGAGCCACATTTTGAAAACAACCCGCCATCAATCCGTGAATCTCTTGCAAATTGTTGAAACGAATGTGCGCGGCGCTAAGGCGAGAACCGCATTTTGAAATCCACCCACCCCCAATCCGTGAAACTTTTGCATTTGTTAAAACGAATGTGCGCGGCGCTAAGGCGAGAGCCACATTTCGAAAACCACCCGCCCTCAATCCGTGAAGCTCTTGCAGATGTTTGAAACGAGTGTGCGCGGCGCTGAGGCGAGAGCCACATTTTGAAAACGACCCGCCCTCAATCCGCGAAGCTCCTGCAAATTGTTCAAAACGAGCACGCGTGGCGCTAAGGCGAGAACCGCATTTTGAAATCCACCCGCCCCCAATCCGTGAAACCCTTGCAGTTTTTCAAAGCGAATGCGCGCGGCGCTAAGGCGAGAACCACATTTTGAAAACCACCCGCCCTCCGTTTGTAAAGCTGCTGTCATGTTTCAAAGTTCGGAATCATGAGCGGCTAGGAAGTCTCAGGCGCAACGCCTGGCCCGCTCTAAAATCGGGCGCCGGGATGTGACACGGAGGAGTTATCTGTAAGGAGAGGCAATGGAGGAGGCGGAGGAGGCGGAGGAGGAGGAGGAGGAGGAGCAGGAGGAGGAGGAGGAGGAGGAGGAGCAGGAGGAGGAGGAGGAGGAGGAGGAGGAGGAGGAGGAGGAGGAGGAGGAGGAGGGGGAGGAGGAGGAGGAGGAGGAGGAGGAGGAGGGGGAGGAGCAGCGATGCGGGGCAGCCTCGGCCTCGGGGCCGTTGCGCGAGCGCCGCCCTGCAGACCTCGGGATTCCCGGCGCCCCGCGCGCCCCCCTCGCCCAGCCCGCGCGCGCGCCCGCGAAGGACGACGAGGCACTCCTGGAGAAGGAGATCCAGCGCGTAAAGAAGGAGGAGGCGGGGCTCTGGCTCCTCCTCCTCCTCCTCCTCCTCCTCCTCCTCCTCTTCCTCCTCCTCCTCCTACTCCTCGACCTTCTTCCTCCGTCCCTACTTTTCCCCCCTTCCCCTCTCCTCCTCCGCTCCACCTCCTTCTTCCTCCTCCTCCTCCTCACCCTCCTCGTCCTCCTTCCGTTTTCCTCCCTCCTGTCTCCTCCCTCCCTCTTCTGTCCGTGCGTATCCGTTCGGGCTCAAGTCATCTCTGCCCATCCTATACCCGGCAGTTTGCTGTTTCATCCCGTTTTATGTGTGGCCTATTCAATTATTGGCTTCCTGGCTTCCCGGGACGCGGCCCTGCAGGGCTGCTCATGGCGTGCATCCGCTGAGCTCGGCGCGGGAAGGCGTGTCGCGCGCCACATCGCCGACAGCGCCATGTACAAAGTGGTTTCTGAACGAGACGGTCTACGCGAGCAAGCCGCGGTGCATATTCCTACAGATGTCACGTTCAGCCCTGCACCTACCCGCTGGAGTGGCTGGCGGAATGATGGTGGTGGTTTTATTCTTCGCTAATAGGAGAGTGTTTTTGTACCCTCTGGGCCATCAGGCGCGTTATGCCCCCTACCCTTCCCCCCCCTCGTCCCCCATAACGTAACGCTCCCTCCCTCAGGCGTTCCCAGCACTGACGCAGTGCGTCCGGCACCACGGTCTGAGGGGTGTGGGCGCTACGTTATGCCCCCTCCCGTTCCCCCCTCTCCCCCCCATACATCCCGTTATGGCCGCGAATTAGAAATGCGCTTTAAGATGGTAGCAGGAGGGGTGCTGGGTCATACTGGCATGCTGCGTCGGGCTGTTGCTGCAGACGAGGAGGCAGCCGGAAAACGCCTCTCGATCGTCACGTGCAGTCGATCAGAGACGAAGAGGGCACAGCACGGTGCAATGCGCAATACGGGTTTGCCAAGTTCACCCATGCGGGGCTCACCTTGTTCGATCATTCGCTGACGGCCCACTCGCTCCTCGGGCTTGGGATTATGTCGCTGCCGCGGGTGTTTACGCTACTGCAGCCTGGCAGCCTGCACCGCGGCCAGTACCAGAAGCCACAGTCACCAATGGCGTCCGCGCTACCTTGCGAGCTACACCCCATCCGACCCGTTGCAAGATCAAGGACCATCATTTCTAGACGTCGTCAACATCATCGGCACGCATGGCACAGTTTGCGCCTGTGGCGGCACAGGAGACCACGAGTCGTTGCGTGATTTCCGACCCCGAACCAAACCGCCAGATCGGTTTTGGAGGTCGCCGCGGCGGTCACGGCGGCCACACATCGGGGCAAGGTGTTTGTCAAGGAGTAGCATGCCCCTTCCCGGTTCCCCCTCTCGCCCTCTCGCGCTGCAGTGTAGACGTGGCCCCCATCATCAACTATGTAGCGACAGGGGGTTGCCAATGTATGTCCAACGTGGGCAGTCATGTTACTTTGGTCAGGGACGGTTATCACGCAACCAAGGAGAGAGCCGAGCTGGCCTCAGGCAGGGACAGGTCCAGCTTTCGCACTCCCGAGCTGGACGTGTGCGCGAGAAGCCGAGAAGCCTCGGGCAGAGGTGGAGGTATGTGTGGAGAAAGGGAGGGCAGGAAGGGAAGGGATGGCGAAGGGAGGGACGGAGGGACGGGGAGGGACTGAGACAGGAAGGAAGGGACAGAAGGGTGTAATGGAGGGAGAGATGCTCTGGTGGCCGAAGGGTGGGCGAGTGGAGGAGGGATAGGAGAAAGGATGCGCAACAGACAGATAAGGTCGAGGATGAGGACGAGGTGGATTTGACGGCTGCAGCAATGAAGGGGTGTGGGATGATGGTCGCGATGATGGTGGTGACGGTGATGAATCGGATGATGACGATGATGACCAAGGTGATGATGGTGCTGGTGACGCTGATGGAAATGTGGTGGTGTCCTTGGTGATGACTGTGTAAATGGTTACGCGTACGCGCATGAATGCGATGATGACGATTGATGTCAGCGTTTGACAGCGTCACTCATGAGACCAAGGGGTCCCACGACCATACATACGTCTCTTGGAAAATCTGTACGCCAACCAATCAGCAGCTGTTCGCACTGACCGCACGAGCAAGCAGTTCTCAATACAGCGATGCGTCAAGCAGGGGGACCCTCTCAGCTCTCTTCTCTTCAACAACGTTACAGAGCATCTGATGCGAACGCTGACATCCCGCTGGGACAAGCAAAACTTTGGCCTGCTACTCGATTCTCAGGCACGCTCCAGACTAACCAATCTAGGGTTCGCTGATGACATACTTCTCATATCATCGCTTTCTCCTCAAATCATGAGTATGCTGTCTGACGTCAGCAAGCAAACGTCACACATCGGCTTACATTTGCATCCAAGCAAGACGACGGTCCTACACAACGGCCACGGGTTTACTTGCAGAGGGCGACCTCCCGCACATGTATATGCGAACACCATGATGATAGAAGTAATACCTTCAGACCGCTTCACCAAGTATTTGGAAAACGGATACATTATTCAGGACAGCACAAAGTTGAGCTCGACAACAGGATCGCCGCTGCAAGGAAAACGTCCATAATGCTGAAGTACGAACTAAAAGACACATCGTTTTCATTACGTGACCGATTCCGGCTTTTCTGTGGCACGATTACACCCACTGTGTTGCACTGAAGCGACAGCTGAATGCTCAAGCGATGCTCCGTATCCAGCGCCGGATGCTCCGTATGATCGTGCGTGTGCCGAGACGACGATTATTGTTTGGCTCACGCTCCAAAGCCGTTCCGTGCCGCCACCCCAGCGGCATCGCCATTTCCGACCCCAGTACTAAGCCGACCACCGACATCAACGATGCCGACACCTTACTAGAGCCTTAGCTGGATTGGACCAAACGTGCCACCCACGAAGCAATACGACGAATGCGAGAATACAAGGTGGACGATTGGGCCATTGTGTGCAGACCGAAAGTGGGCATGGACACAACAAATTGTATTTATGGAGGCATCAGAACGGCCAGCTCAAATCGTGAATTCGGCTCCGCGCGTAGGCCCACGCGCGTCAGCGCGGCGACGCCCAGGACGACCAGAGACGCGGTGGGTGGATGATATCAAACACTGCTTGCTGACAGCCGCTGGGTGCGACGATGAGAGACAGTTTGCGAAGTCAGAGGTGTGTGACCATGTGAATGGCGATTCTGTCAACATGCGAGCGGGCCTCGGCCCTCCTCGCAGCTCCCTCGCGGAGCCGTGCGCCGGCTTCCGTTCCGTTCCGTTCCGTTGATGTCGGGCTTACAGATTTGTTTGTGCCATTGCTTGCGTCGGTGATGAGCATAAGCATGCTGCTGATGGCGGCGGCGATGACGATAATGGTGGCGGTGATCGTAGTGAAGGTGACTGTGATGGTGATGCTATCGGTGAATCTGATAGTTGTGGCGGGGGTGCATGATGACGATGGTGGTGAGCAATCAGGAAGGCGATGATGGGAGAAGGAGGAAGTGGCGGAGCGGGAGGGCGGGGTGGAAGGAGGGAGCGGAGGAGGAGGAGGATCCTACACAGCCCTCGAGCGACCGCGCCTGCAGTTGGCGATGAGCTCTGAACTCTGCACCGCGCTTGGACGCGACGGAGCCACTCGCGACGGCCCCGCGCCAGCGCCGTTCGGAGGAAGCGGACCCCCCCGCACAGGGCGGGAGGGTGGGTGGGGCGCGGCAGACGGCAAGCCAGCGGCGGGCTGCGGCACGGGACGAACCCGCAGGCCCTGCATTTGTCATCCCGTCTCGGGCTTGGCCTCGCTCGGACGTGTGCATTTTTTCCCTTCGGCGAGGACCACCGAGGAGCATCCTGGATCACTTGGCGGAAGAAGCCACGCACGAGACCGAACAGAAGCACAGGGAATGGACGCCCGAGCGATGGCGCGCGGGGTCCCAGCGGAAGGCAACAGCCGTACATCACCGTGCGGCGTTGGGCGAGATCCGGGCGCCGCGCAGCCACGAAGCGGTGCTGCCAGCCCCCCTCGGGGCCAGCGACCGGCGCACGACCTTCCCAACCCCGCCGCCCATGCATGAGGAGGGAAAAAACACACACAGACATAATTAATCGTCGATCCCCCAGAAAATATGGGAAGTGGTGGGGAAGACAGAACCCCAGAAAATATGGGAAAATATGGGGAATCTGTTTATTTGTGTGTATTTATTTGTGTGTCCTGGGGCCCCTTCAATGCAGGCACGCGGCGCGTGAGGATGCTGCCACAGGGCCCCGGATGGCCGAAGCCACGGGGGTACCGTTGTGAGCCTGCTGAGTCCTCCTGTCCTTAAGCCCCTGCGTGCTCATGGGCCATAGGGAGGGGGAGGAGGAGGAGGAGCAGGAAGAGGAAGAACATGATGATGATGCTGATGCTGATGATGATGGTGATGGTGATGGTGATGGTGATGGTGATGGTGATGGTGATGGCGATGATGATGATGCTGATGCTGCTGCTGATGATGATGATGATGATGGTGGTGATGATGATGATGATGATGATGATGATGATGATGATGATGATGATGATGATGATGATGATGAGATGATGATGATGATGATGATGATGATGATGATGATGAGGAGGAGGAGGAGGAGGAGGATGAGGAGCAGGAAGACGAGGAGCAGGAAGAGGAGGAGGAGGAGGAGGAGGAGGAACGAGGAACAGGGAGGAGGTGGAGGAGGAGGGCCAGAGTAAACCAAAGATGCGTCAGCGATGCTGCAGTACACCCTCCAGTCCCAAGGCCTCTCTTCATACGTCCCTACAAGCTTTCCTTTCCAGCTTCAGAACAAAAGCGCTCCTCGGAAATATCAGCCTGCCGTTTTTGCGAGGCTTGAAATGGTTGCATTGTTCAAAGACGAAGGTGCTCGGCGCTATGGCGAGAACCACGTTGAAAACTGGTTCCTCTCAGTCTACGGAGTCGTCGCCCATGTTTACGACGAATATGCGCGGCCTTGATGCGAGAACTACATCTTGATAAGGACCTGCGCAAACTTCGAGCTCCAGGATCATATAAATCATGAGGAATCCCAGGCGAAACGCCCAGCCCGCCCCACCGACACATCTCATCTGGCATCGCTCGGACGTGTGCATGTTTTTTTACGGCGAGAACCATCGAGGACCATCCTGGACCATCGAGCAGAAAAAAACGCACGCACGAGACCGAAAAGTGCACGGGACATGGACGTCCGAACGAGGGGGTGGAGCCTGGGGGAGCTCGCTCAGACGGAGAGTGGGAGGCAGGAGGGCCGGGAAGGCCGGTGAGCAGGAGGTGGGGGTGGGGGTCGAGGGGAGGAGAGGAGGGCGGGGGAGGAAGAGGAGGAGGAGGAAGAGGAGGAGGAGGAGGAGGAGGAGGAGGACGAGGACGAGGACGAGGGGGAGGAGGAGGAGGAGGAGGAGGAGGAGGATGAGGAGGAGGAGGAGGAGGAGGAGGAGGAGGAGGAGGAGGAGGAGGAGGGCCGGAGCGGGGCGCGCCGCAGGCCGACCGGCTGAAGAACCAGGGCAAGCCCAAGACCATGGCGGGGCAGCCCTCCCCCCAAAACCCTGCCGCCCCCCCGCCGTCGCCCCTCGTGGGCCGGGGGCGGGAGGGGATGAGAGGGGCGAGGCTGCGGAGGAGGCGAGGGAGGGACGCGACGGGGGAGGGGGGGCGGGGAGGGGCGGGGGAGGGGGAGGGGAGGGAGGAGGTGGACGGAGGGAGGGGCATGGGGAAGAGAAGGGAGAAGGGGTGGAGGAGGCCAGGGAGAGGGAGGCGTGCGGATCAGGAGAACACATGAGACGTCGGTGCCGCCTTTTTTTTTTTGTTCTCTCTCTCTCTCTCTGCCATCTATTGTTCTTTCTCTCTCTCTCTTTTTGTTTCTCGCTCTCGCTTTCTCTCTCTCTCTCTCTCTTTTTTTGTTCTCTCTCTCTCTCTATGTATACATCTGTGTATACATATACACACATATATCGGAGGTTGGCGGTGAGATCGCAGTTGAACGGAAAGCCCCCCACCGGGAAACTGGTTTCGGTTTCGTCTTCGTGTCGTGCGTGCGGGCGAGGCGAAGCTGCGTGGGTGCACGAGAAGAATGATGCCGCCGCGGCTAGGGGCTGTGGAACCGGTTGTCCGCCCCTCCCCTCCCGTGCGCGCGGTGGCCGGGGGTGTCCCGTCGGTGGCGCGGCGGTGTCCCGTCTTTGGCGCGGGGTGCCCGGTCGGTGGCGTGGGATGTCTCGACGGTGGCTCCGGGTGTGCCGCCGTGTTGTCTCGATGGGTAGCTCGTGAGATCAGTCGTGAGATCGATCGTGGGATCGATAGTGATGGGGATAGTGAGATCGATAGTGAGATCGATCACAACTGATCTTTGGCTGGCGGGGCCCGCCGTGGCTGGGGTCGCCCCATCGTGGTGTCCCGCTGGTATCTCGTGAGATCTCCTGTGAGGTCGATCGTGCGATCTCGTGTGAGATCGATATTGAAATCGATGATGACATCGATAGTAAGATCGATTGTGCGATCGATATCGAGATCGATAGTGAGGTCGATTGTGAAATTCGTTGTGAGATCGATGGTGAGATCTGATGTGAGATCGACAGCGAGATCGATAGTGAGATCGACAGTGAGATCGAAGAGGAACGGAGAGCCCCCCCAGGGAAGTCGGTGTCGGTTTCGGGTTCGTGTCGTGCGTCCGGGCGAGGCGAAGCTGCGCGGGCGGGCGAGGCATGACTCCGCTATGGCTGGGGCGGGTCAGAGCCGTTGACCCGTTCTCTCTCCCCCCCCTCCGGTGGTCCAGCGGTGGCCCAGCTGTTCCGCCGTGTCCGGCCTTTCCGTCGCTGTCCCGCCGGTGTCCCGTCGCGGTGGGCGGGTGGTTGTCCCGCCGTGGTGTCCCGTCGGTGTCTCCCGTCGGTGTCCCGTCGGTGTCCCGTGGTGTCCCGTGGGTGTTCCGTGTGTGGCCCGTCGGTGGCTCGTCGGTGTCGCGTCGGTGTCCCGTCGGCAGAGAGAGAGATCCTTAGAGCGGTATCGGCAGTCAGAGCGACAGTGCGAGTTCGATAGAGTGAGATCGGTGGTCAGATCGGCAGTGGGAGCGGTGGTGAGGTCGATGGTGTGATCGCTGGTGAGATCCACATCGCGACGCAGCATCGCGACCACACGTCGTGGCCAAGTCGAGGGCACATCACCAGCTTCGCCATCATCACGGCCGTCGCAGTTGTCGTCGGTTGGTTCGACTCCCCCCCACCAACCTCCTTATCACCCGAAGGGCGGTCGCATAGGTAGAGGAGGAGGAGGAGGAGGTGGAGGAGGTGGAGGAGGAGGAGGAGGAGGAGGAGCAGGAGCAGGAGGAGGAGGAGGAGGAGGAGGAGGAGGAGGAGTATGTGTGTATATATATGGAGAGATCAGAGGTGAGGGGGTGAGATCGCAGTGAAACGTGGAGCCCCCAACCCGGAAATTCGTGTTCGTGTCGTGCGTGCGGGCGAGGCGACGCTGCGCGGGCGGGTGAGAGGAATGAAGCCTCCTCTGGCCCGAGCGCCTCCGGGCCAGAAGACCGCCCCCCCCCCGCCCTTACTGGTGGTGGCCAGGGGTGTCCCGCGTGTTTCCCGCTGGTATCCCGTCGGTGTCCCGTCGGTGTTCCGCCGATGTCCCGTGGTGAGATCGGCAGCGATAGTGAGACAGACAGTGAGAGCAGTTGTGAGATCGATATTGAGATCGATAGTGGGCTCAATAGTGAAAGCGATGGTGAGATCGATCAAGTGAGATCGATAGTGAGACCGATAGTGAGATCGATAGTGAGATAGAAAGTGAGATCGATAGTGAGAGGATAGTGGGATCGATCGTAAGATCGGTAGTGACATCGATAGTGAGATCGATTGAGTGAAACCAGTCGAGCGAGATCGATCGTGATATCAATAGTGATGTCCTGTCGGTGCCCCGTCGGTATCCCGTAGTGAGATGGTTTTGAGACCGATAGTGATCTCGATTGTGAGATCGATTGGGGGAGACGTTGGTTCCTCCCTTCCCAGAACCTCCCTATCTCCCGAAGGGTGCTCGTATAGGTGTGGCTCTACCGCTCCATCCTTCTCTTTCCCCCCATCCGGCTCTCTCGCTGTATGCATGGTCGTACTCCTACATATCCGTGTGCACGTCGAAGGCGCTGACAGCGAGTCACCGCCGCCGCTGCCCCTCGGAGAGCGCAAGGCATGTCTGTGTCCGATAGCTTACCCCCCTCTCTTTAATTCAAGCTGTGCGCGGCCCGCTTAACTTCGACCGGAAGAGGTGCGCTCTCCACCCGCGGATCGAAAAAGTCCGACAGCTTACGTAATGCTCGCTCGGCAGCGGTGGAGCTCTGATCCCCCCGAGTGGTTGCCTGGACGCCTGGTTCGGCACCGCCTGTATCCGAGGCTATGCCTCCCCTCGGCCTCGCTCCGAGGCTCCGCCACCTCCTCCCTCCTCTTCGCTGCCCAAAATTCCAGCTTCGAGCGGCCCGCTCAGCTTCGGCCGGAAGAGGTGCGCTCTCGACAATAGTAATGATGATGATGATGATGATGATGATGATGATGATGATGATGATGATGATGATGCTGATGCTGAGGCTGATGATGATGATGATGCTGATGCTGATGCTGATGATGATGCTGATGTGATGCTGATGTGTGCTGATGATGATGCTGGATGATGATGGTGAGATGATGATGATGATGGTGATGATGATGATGGTGATGATGATGATGATTATGATGATGATGATGATGATGATGATGATGATGATGATGATGATGATGATGATGATGATGATGATGATGATGATGATGAGATGCTGCTGCCTGATGATGATGATGATGATGATGATGATGATGATGATGATGATGATGGCCGGGGGGGTCACACGGGGCCCACAGCGAAGGGCGGGCCGGCCTGGGGCTCTCTCCGTGTCCTTTTTGGGGCGCTCCTCGGCGCGCCTGGGCATGCCTTGGGCCACGGCGGGGCGCTCCCCGGGGCCATCCTGCGGCGCCCTTGGGCCGCGAGAGGGTGCCCTCGAGGCCGTCTTGCAGGTCTGTTGGGGCCCTCTCTTGGGGCCCTTGGGGCTCTCTCGGGCCGTCTCGGCCACGCTGGGAGCCCTCTTGGGACCCCTTGGGCCTCTTGGGGTGCCTTTGGCCCTCCTGGACTCCTTGGGCTCCCTTGGGACCCTTCGGGGGCCCTTTGGCCGTCCTTGGTGCGATCTTCGGGGGTCGGTTGGGCCGTCTGTCTTTGAGCGCTGTGAAGCCCGAACAGGCGAGTGTTCCAAAACCATCGCGAACTTGTTGTGGTAGCTGATCCTGTCTTCCTTTTGTGGTAGTCTTGGGGTTGCTTGTAGGGCCCTCTTCAGGGGCGTCTTCGGGGCATCCTGGGCCGTCTCACGGCAATGCTGGGCCTTCTTGGCCGTCTTCGAGGTCATCTTGCCATCTGGACACATGGAAATCCGTCTTGTGCAAGAGGACGGGGCCCCCGAGGTTTGGAGGAGAGAACCGGTGGGGGTCTTCGTGAAGCCTTCTGGGAGGTCTTGGGATAGTCTTGAGCCCGCCGCGCCCTCTGAGGCACGGCGTCTGTATGCCCCAAGTGGTACGAACAAGTGCCACTTGCGGCACGTCGTCTGTCTGTGTGCACGAAGTGATGTCGTCTGTATGCCTCAAGTTATACCAATAAAGTTCGTGAGTATGCCTGACGTGGTACCGACGACATGCAATTTGAGGCATGCGTGCTTGGGTGGTGGGTCAGAGGCCTCGTGGACGTTCGTTGGAATCTCGTGGTTGGCCTCTCGAGGGCTCCTCGGAGGCAGTCTTTGAAGCCTTTCGGGGGGGTGTTGGAGCCTCTTGGGCTCTCTTTGGGGCCTCTGCCTCTTGTATAAGCATCTGGGGCGCATCTTGGGGCCTCTTGGGGCCCTCTGGGAGCCCTCTTGGGGCCTTTGGGAAACACAGATCTAGAATGTTCCATTCTTGGTCCCCCCATTGGGCCCGCGGGCCCTCGTGGACCGTCTTGGGCGCCCCTTGGGCAGTCTTGGGGCCCTCTTGGGCCGTCTTGGAGCCCTCTTGGAGACCTCTTGGGCCGTCTTGGAGCGTTCTTAGGGGCCGTCTTGGAGTGTCGGGAAGCAGAAAAAGCGAGAATGCCAAAATCGCTCAAACACCTCAAACACCTTAGGAAAAACAGTGAATTTTGTTTCTCGGGGCTCTCCTTGTAGAGGCCTCTTCGGCCGTCTTGGAGGCTTCTTGGGCCATCATTGCGGGGGCCATGATATCTCCTCAGATCTCATGGCCACTCTTCTTATTTCATTGCGTCCCTGGCCCCCCCCCCGGTCCGCCCGCGCACATGCCTCGGGCCATGATTTGCACCCCCCCCTCCTGAACGCCCCCCTCTTGGACGCACCCGTCTTGCTCAGGCGGACGTGGCTAGGAGGAGGATAAATCCGTTCCAGAGCGTTCCGGAGCGCTTTAATGCGTTCCAGAGCGCTCTGAGAAGGCCGCGGTCCCCGAGACATCTTCCAGATCCGCCCAATTTCAGAGATTCTCGATTTATCCTCACCCGATTTTATCCTCGTCCTGGCTTCGTCTTATCTGAGGCTCAGAGGATTTGGGCAAAGGACCCGAGCACGCCCACTCCGTGCCCAGAGGCACGGTGTGGCGGATGTTCGGGTCGGGCGCACGCCTCCAAGGAGGACGCGTAGACTACGGGTCCTCCTTGGACGCGCAGCGCTTAGACTATGTACCATAGTACATCGTCCTGGTACTACGCGTCCAAGGGCAAAGCATAGTCCTATAGTACATCGTCCTAGTACTACGCGTCCTAGAATCCTAGGACTACGCACTATAGGGCACAGTCCTAGTCCTAACCAGCACGTGGGACGCGCAAGGACAAACTAGTACTCCGCGGCATAGTACCAGTTTGCCCTTGTGCGTCCCACGTGCTGTTTTTTTCTGCAGCTCTTTGGCTTCTGGGACGCTCACGCGACACGCCCCACGAGCGCGCCGAGCGGCGCATTCAACAGAGGAGGAGGAGGAGGAGGAGGAGGAGGAGGAGGAGGGGGAGGAGGAGGGGGCGAGCGAGGAGGTAGGAGGAGGACGGGAGGAGGAGGAGGAGGTGACCGGAGGGGAGGAGGAGGAGGAGGAGGAGGAGGCCAGGAGAAGGAGTGATCACGCCTGCCAGACCCCGCACGCTTCTCGAGGCGCGGGATTATCGCGGGCGGGAGGTGCCGATCCATCCCTGCGCGGATCTCTGGGTCGGACGGCGTCCCCCTTTGGGCGCGCATGTGCTCCGCGCGCACGACCCTGGGCGGCTCCTGCCGTCGCACCGGGCGAGGGGGGGTCCGTGCCGCGTCGGGAGAACGCGCGCCGACCGGCCAGTCGTCGAGGGCGTGCCGCTCGGGGTCCTCCATCGTCCCCCTCCCTTCGTTTGCCTCGTCGCTCTTTGCCGACTTCTCCTCCTCCTCCTCCTCCTCCTCCTCCCCCTCCTCCTCCTCCTCCTCCTCCTCCTCCTCCTCTTCCTCCTCCTCCTCCTCTTCCTTCTCCTCCTCCTCCTCTTTCCCCTCCTCGTGTGCCTCGTCGTTCTTTGCCTACCTCCTCCGCCTGCCACCCTGCCCGCACACCCCCGTACGGAGAAGGTCAGTAAAAGGAGGGTCCAGAGCGCATCCCTGATGAATGGAGCACTGCTAGGCCATGCTGCTTCAATTGCCACGCTGCTCTAATCGATGGCGAAGTAGCCCCGAACTCGGTCTGACAGACTGAGCGATCGATCGATCCCCCTCCTCCCCTCCCTCTTCCTCCGCAGCCAATCGGCCTTCGCCGTTCGTCGTTCTCTTTCATGTGTTCTCTGCCATTCAAGCAGAATCATCCATCGTCTGCTTGGGCCTCCCGCCTGCTACAGGAGAAGGAGGACGACGAGGAGGGGGAGGGAGTGGAGGAGGGAAACAAGGAGAGAGGAAGGATGAAGGCGGAGGGACGGAGGGAGTGGAGGAGAGCGGAGGGAGTTCGTCCCCGTCCGCACTGATTCCACACTGTTCTATGCATTATCATCTTCTACCTCTGATCCTCTGCTTGCTATCAGTCATCCTTTATTATTATTTATCCTCCTCCCCCTTCTCCTTCCTTTCCTTCTCCGTCTCGTCCCTCTCCTCCATCTTCTCCCTCTCCCTCTCCTTCTCCTTCTCCTCCTCCTCCTCTTCCTCCTCCTCCTCCCTCTCCTTATTATTATTCTTAGTACTAATAATAATGAAAGTAGTATGTTTCTTAGTAGTATTACTAGTCGTAGTATTATCAGTATTGTTATTATTACTACTACTACTATTATTCATATTGTTAGTATTCTTATTCTCATTCGTATTATTACTATTATTATTTGTATTATCATTGTTATTATTATTATTACTTTTATTAGTAGTAGTAGAAGTAGTAGTAGTAGTAGTAGTAGTAGTAGTAGTAGTAGTAGTAGTAGTAGTAGTAGTAGTAGTAGTCGTCGGAGTAGTAATAGTAATAGTAGTATAGTAGTCGTAGTAGTAGTAGTAGTAGTAGTAGTAGTTGTTGTTGTTGTAGTAGTAGTAGTAGTAGTAGTAGTAGTAGTAGTAGTAGTAGTAGTAGTAGTAGTATTAGTAGTCGTAGTCGTAGTGGTCGTAGTAGTCGTAGTAGTCGTAGTAGTCGTAGTAGTCGTAGTAGTCGTAGTAGTCGTAGTAGTCGTAGTAGTAGGTCCATTATTTCCACTATTAGGTCATTAGTAGTAGTAGTAGTAGTCAGGAGTAGTAGCAGTAGTCGTAGTAGCTAGTAGTTAGTAGCAGTTAGAGCTAGTAGTAGTAGTAGTAGAATAATAGTAATAGTCGTAGTAGTAGTAACCAGCAGAAGTAGTAGGTAGATAGTAGTAGTAGGTAGTAGTAGTAGTAAGTAGTAGTAAATGTAGTCGTAGTAGGATTTTAGTAGTAGTAAGTAGTAGTAGTAGTAGTAATAGTAGTAGTAGTAAGTACATAGTAGTAGTAGTAGTAGTAATTAGTAGTTAGTAGTAGTAGTTAGTTAGTATAGTGGTAGGTGTAATATAGTAGTAGTAGTAGTAGTAGTAGTAGAAGTAGTAGTGGTAGTAGTAGTAGTAGTAGTAGTATAGTAGTAGTAGTGAGTGCGTAGTAGTAGTCGCAGTTTAGTGTAGTAGTAGTAGTAGTAGTAGTAGTTAGTAGTAGTAGTAGTAGTAGTAGTAGTAGTAGTGGTGGTGGTAGTAGTAGTAGTAGTAGTAGTAGTAGTAGTAGTATCACGATTATTATTATTATTAGTATGAATATTATTATCCTCCTCCTCCTCGTCCTCCTCCTTCTTTGTGTACTCCCTCTTCGCTCTTTCGCTCCCCCCGAATCCCTGCTCAGTGGCCGAGGCGGAACTCATGATGCAGGTCGAAGGCATCCCGGTCATGGACGAGGCCTTCGCCGAGCAGGCCCCTGGGAGGAAGGGAGGAGGACAGGGGAGGATGGGGGGGGGGAGGAGAAAGAGAACAGGGGAGGATGGGGGGGGAGAGAGAGAGAGAGACGAGAGGAGAGAAGAGCAGAGAGGGACGGAGGCGAGGAGGACTGGGAGAGGATGGGGCAGGGGGGGGGAGGAGAGAGAGAACAGGGGAGGAGAGGGGGGGGGGGAGGAGAGAGAGAGAGGAGAGAGAGAGAGAGCGAGAGGGCAGCCCGAGAGGGATGGGGGGGGGGCGGAGGACAGGGGAGGATGGGGGAGGAGGAGGGCAAGCGAGGCCGGGGGGGACGGGGGGGGGGAGGGGGAGGTAGGGAGGACGAGGGGAGGACGGGGGGCGGAGGAGGCAGGGGACGCCCGCCCTGCCGAGCGGGAGGGGGTGGCGTGGCAGCTCGCGCGGGGCGCGGCCCGCGGCGCCACGCGTCGGGCCCCCCGCGAGGGGGAGGGCTCTCCCGCTGCGCAGCCTCCCTATCGTTAAGTCGGGCGTGTCCCCCTACAGGGGGATTGTCGACGAAAAATAAAACATATACTCCAAGAGTGCCCCCCCACAGGTCAAAAAGTGCTCAAAACATAGTCCCCAGACCGTTTTTGGACTCTTTTGGGATTATGTTGGGGGTATTTTTTATTTTTGTCGAACATCCCCCTGTAAGGGGACAGGCCCGACTTAACCCTATCGGAACAGGGTGTCTCCCTGTCGGAACGGGGTGTCACGTCCCAGCCCTTTTTTGGGAAGAGGACGGGGAGGATGACCAGTGTGACCCCAATCGCAGGCCTAGGGGTTGACACCAGCACCAGTATCGGCGGTGTGCCTCCATCGAGGGAAGAAGATCCCGATCTCGGTGATGGTGGTAATATTCTGGCTTCCAAGGTGGCCGAAATATTACCACCAACACCGAAATCTAGGATCATCTTCCCCCTGTGGAGGCACCCCCATGTGTTGGTGTTGGTGCCCATTTCCAGGCCTCCGACCCAAGGCGCGTCAACGATGTTGCGATGCACCCTCACACACCCTGCCTCCAAGTTCTCTCTGCACATGTCCCTGCAAGGTTTTTCTTTTTGTTGCGGATCGTGCCTCATTGGAAGGCAGCCGTTTGGGGATCCCAGGTCGTGCCCACATACCATCCCTGGGCTTTCAACGCCTCACAGATCTAAATCGCGTCAGAAAGCAATTCCTGGGACTTTCAATATTGCGAATCAACGTGACTGATCCGGCCCGGCAACCCTAAATTGTGCCAGAGCTTACGAACCCATGAAGCGTTTGCATATTGTTAGGACGATGTGCGCGGCGCTAAGGCGAGAGCCACACTTTGAAAGCCATACACCATCCATCAGTGAAACTATTGCACATGTGTGATGACGAATGTGCGCGGCGCAAAGACAAGAGTCACATTTTGAAAACCTGACGAATGTGCGCGGCGAGGCAAGAGTCACATTTTGAAAACCACCCGCCCTCTACCCGTGGAACTGTTGCGACTGTCAAGCTTTAGGAGCACAAGTGGTGAGGACGTCTAAGGCGAAACGCCCAGCCCGCCCTGATTGCCGACATGCCTGGGGGTGCGGCAGGGATGATTCACTGATAAGGAAAACCATGGTGGAGGATGAGGAGGAGGAGGCGGAGGAGGCGGCGGAGGAGGCGGCGGAGGAGGCGGCGGAGTAGGAGGAGAAGCGCGAGAGTGAGGGAGGGTGAGGGAGGGAGGGAGGAGGATACGGGATGAGCTGGGAGCAGGAGGAGGAGGAGGATACATACTGTTCGTTCGCCCCAAAGGAGGAGGAGGACACATCTGTTTCGTTCGAACTCTAGCTCCAAACCGATACTGTTCACTATACAAACGATGCTGATGTTGTTGATGATGACGATGATGATGATGATGCTGATGCTGATGATGATGAGGATGCTGATGATAACGATGATGGTGGTGGTGATGACGCTGCTGATGATGGTGATGCTGGTAGTTATGGTGATGCTGCTGCTGCTGCTGCTGCAGATGATGATGCTGATGTCGCTGCTGCTGCTTGTGATGATGATGATGTTGATGATGGTGAATGGTGATGCTGATGGCGGTGGTGTTGGTGATGATGATGATAATGCTGATGCTGCTGATGATGATGCTGAGGACGATGGTGATGACGATGGTGATGATGGTGGTGATGATGATGATGGTGATGGTGATGGTGGTGGTGACGATGATGATGATTATGATGATGATGATGATGATCATGATGATGATCATGATGATGGTGATGGTGATGGTGATGATGATGAGGATTATGGGGACGATGCTGATCATGATGATGATGCTGACGATGCTCATGATGATGACGACGACGACGGTCATTTTGTTGATGATGTTGCTCATGACGACGGTGCTGATGCTGCTGATGATGGTGATGATGATGATGATGATGATGATGATGATGATGCTGATGATGATGATGATGGGGATGAGGAGGAGGATGAGGAGGCGGGGGGGAGGAGGAGGCGGAGGAAAAGAGGAGGGGGAGGAAGAACAGGAGGAGGAGGAAAATACATGAAGACAACAGCTAAACATAACAGTACTGATAACATGAACCATACAACTTATAATACGAGCAGTAATACTGATAATACGAAAAATCAATCTGAGAACTCGAATAATGGTACTAGGAAGAAGAAGCATAATAGGATTACTGATCGTAATAAGAAGAATCGCTAGTATATAATATGACCTAGAATCGTGACACTAGTAATCATACAACTAAACATACTAATACGACGACTCATACTGACACGCACGCAGTAATAACGTAATACTGCGACTAAGAAAGCAATCAGCCACATACGAGAACAACTAACAATAATGATAGTATTCATGATGACAATGCGAATGCTGATAAGAGGAGGAGCAAGGAAGGAAGGAGGAGAGGAGGAGAAGGAGGAGGAGAAAGAAGAAGAAGAGGACGAGGAAGAGGATTAATTTCATTAGTATAATAATAATACTAATACTAATAATAATACTAATACTACTACTAATAATACGAATAATAATACGACTTATAATCTAATGATATAATTCACATTTCAAATCATAGTAACATTAAAAAGATGATCAATAATATTAAGAAGAATAAGAATAACCATCATACTAAGAATAAGAGGAGGAGGAGGAGGAGGAAAGGGAGGAAGGGGAGGAGGAGGAGGGGAGGAGGGGAGGAAGGGGGAGGAGGGGGAGGAGGAGGGGGGAGGAGGGGAGGAGGGCGAGGAGGAGGATGAGGTATGGAGGGAGGAGGGGCGGGACGGAGGTGGGTGAGGGGAGGAAACACCCCCCACATGCGCCGGCGAGGCAAAGAGGCCATTGCAGGAGCGGCAGCGGTCGGCCCTCAAGGAGAAGCTGCAGGCACGGGGCCCGCCGGGGGCATAGAGCACAGTCGGCTCTGCGGGCATGATAGCCGAGGAGAACAGATCTTGGCAGCGATTGGGAGGAGGAGGAGGAGGAGGATAAGAGGAGGAGGAGGTATGAAGGAGGAGGAGGATAGGAGGAGGAGGATGGGAGGAGGAGTGGAGGGGGAGGTGGAGGAGGTAGAGGTGGAGGAGGAGGAGGAGGCAGTGAGGAGGAGGAAGGGGAGCAGGAGGAGGAGGGGGAGGGGGAGGGGGAGGAGGCGGAGGAGGAGGAGGAGGAGGAGGATCAGGCAGTCGCAAACATGGATCAAGGGGGCGTGGGTTAGCGACGGGTCCTGTTCCCACGGGCAATCGCAAAATGCCGCCGCCGAAGGAGGGGGCACCGGCCGCATTTTGGGGAGGGCACTTCGCCCGATCCATGGATTTGGCGACCGCGCGCCAAATCCATGCATCGCCAATCCATGTTTGCGCGCCCCCGAACAGAAAACGGCACAAATAGAAACTTTCGAAGGTCCTCGCGGACTTCCTGGAAACCGGTCTGGAGCACCTCCGCGCGCCAGGGAGGCGGCCCGGCGCAGATCCAAGGAATTTGGGTGGACCTCTAACACTTGACGTTTGTGCAGTTTTTTCTTCCTCCACATGCGGCAGGGGCGATTCCATGGCGTGTCTCAGCGTTGGCGCTCTCGCTTACGGTCTGGAACTTCTGCTCAGCATGCCGCTCCGCCGGTTTGCCCCAGCGCGCTCCGGTGCGACACGTCCTCCGCGTCGCGGTCCCGAAGTGCAGCGTCCTGGGCTCCTCCCCGCCGCCCGCCCCGCGAGGCGGGGGCGACACGTTGACCCGCTCGTCCGCTCGTGGCGTGCCGCCAGGGCCGCTGACGCTGCACGCTGAGCGAAAGTTCCTCGCTGCACACCGTCAGTTTTCGGAGGGCACCAACTATACACCAACACCGATCCTGGCCCAGGATCACCCTGGGCCCAGGATCGGTGTAGATGCCTTCTTGCGCAAGGCAGGAGGGCGTATACACCGATCCTGGGCCCAGGGTTATCCTGGCCAGGACCGGTGTTGGTGTATAGTTGGTGCCTTCCTAAGTTTTGCGGTTGGTGATTTCGTGGAGTAGCCAGGACACCCACGTTGAGGACAGGCGTCTCCGGCTGATGCCTCGCGGTCGAGCAAGAAGTGTGCTGGCCTGGGTCCTGAGGCCCAGCTCTGTGGGCCCGGACGAAAGGAGCAGGATAGGGAGGGCGAGGAGGAGGAGGAGGAGGTGGAGGGCAAGGATGACGAGGAGGAGGAGGACCAGAGTACACCCAAGATGCATCAGGGATGCTGCAACGCACCTTCCCGTCCCAAGTCCCCTCCTCGCAGGTCCCTGCAAGCCTTTTCATTACGAGAAGCGCCCTCTAGAAAGACGAGCACATGTGCGTGCCGTCCAGGCGAGAGCCCCGTCTTGAAAAGGGAACATATTGCATCCTTCCAGCGAGTGGCAAGGCACGCAAAAAAGTAGGATCAGACGGTCCAATGAGATGTCCAGCGGTAGCTTCATCGTGAAAATTGGCCGGCCCCATCCGTGTAGCTTGTGCGCAAGTTTAGAAGGATGAGACAGTCCAATGAAATGTCCAGCGGGAGCTTCATTTTGAAAGTTAGCCGTCCCCATCCGTGTAGCTTGTGCGCAAGTTTAGATTTCCCCCCGTTGAGTCTGAGGGACTCTCGATCGAGAGCTCCAATGTTAAATAAAAGGACCTGCCCTTTGTCCGTGCAGCCATTCCGTATGTTCAAGCGTCTGCTCGTTGAGGCAGAACAGACCTCACAAGGCCGGGATCCGGCGATCCGGCGATCTGGCGATCCGGCGATCCGGCGATCCGGCGATCCGGCGATCCGGCGATCCGGCGATCCGGCGATCCGGCGATCCAGCGACCCGGCGATCCGGCGATCCGGCGATCCGGCGATCCGGCGATCCGGCGATTTCCCCCCACCCCTCCTTCCCTTGTCAGGTTTGACCTCCGTTGAGGAGGAGGAGGAGGAGGAGGAGGAGGAGGAGGAGGAGGAGGAGGGAGGAGGAGGGAGAGGAGGAGGAGGAGGAGGAGGAGGAGGAGGAGGAGGAGGAGGAGGAGGAGTCTGAGAAAGTCCGAGCATGTTCTTTGGGCGGAGGGCGAAGGGTGACATCTGACATGCAGTTTCGATGGACCCTCGGGGCTTGAATCTGCAGAAGGTGAACCACGAGACGGGTGGATTCTCGAGGCGCAGAGGCCCATGTGGAGTTCACCCTGAGTCTTTCACCCGAAGAAGATGCGCAGAAAGTCTCAAGCGAGAGCCCCATATTGAAGAGGAGCCGTTCCTCATCCTTGCAAGTGTTGCAGGTTTCATCATGCTTGCGTGGGAGGCGCCAAGGCGAGAGTCCCCTTTCTGAGTGGAAACCGCCCCGCATCCGTGCAGCTGCTGCAGGCTCTTGTGGCACGTGTGCGTGGAGCCAGCTACTTTTGCGGCGCCGCGGCGGCGAGACTTCGAGAAAGGATCCGCCTTGCATCCCTGTAGTGTTAAGTCGGGCCTGTCCCTCTACAGGAAGAGAGGGATTAGTCAAAAACTGTCAAAGTATAGTCGGGTTGGGACGATGTTTAGTTATTGTGATCTTTTGTCCTTGAGTGTTTTGTGGATTTATAAATCCCCCTGTTAGTGGGGACATGCACGACTATTATTGGTTGCGGCTGGAAATGGTCAGGGTTTGTTCATGGATCACGAGGGGTGGAGGAGGTCTCTGCAAACGGCGTGATCATCTGTATTGAAGGTTTCTGGCTGTGTTTTTTTTAATCCGTTTCTTTTTTGCAATTTTTTTTTTTTGTTTTCTTTTTGTATTTTCTGTTTCTTCTTTTGCGTTTTTCATTTGTTTTTGTCCTTGCCGGCATCATTCTGTGTCCGGCTGCGTGAAAGGGTGGCGATTGGTACCGCGGATATTAACGTCGTAGGCCCAAACGAGGGGCAAGGCGCGGAAGATGGAAGGTGGGCCCAAGCACCGCCAGGGCGGCTAGGGAAAAAGGAAGGCAACCAGTGGTCGCATTCTCAGATAAGGGGCCAGCGCCAAGGCGGCGGGCAGCCGACCAACGGCCGCGGTCGAGGTGGCGTGATGGAGCAAGATCGTGCCGTCGGCCGTGTGGGCCGTGTCCGCGACGCGCCACGGCTTGTCGCTTGGCGGCAGGGAGGCGTATCCCGGGAGCGTAGACTACCTAGACGGGGGGGGCATCGCGACATTACTCTCCCTTTTTCCTCTTCATCGCGCCTCCTCCTCCCTCATCCTACGATTCCTCTCCTCCTCCTCCCACCTTACTCTCCTGGTTCCGCTCCTTTCCTCCACCCCCTCCTCCCGCCTACCTCCTCCTCGCTTCCTCCTTCCCCTCCTTCCTCTTCCTCCCCCTCCTCAACCCTCCCTACTCTTCCTACCCCCTCCTCCCCCTCCTCCTACTCTCCTCCTCCTCCTCCTCCTCCTCCTCCTCCTCCTCCTCCTTCTGTCAAGAGGAAAATCACCCGGACCGGACAATTGGCGTTTCCTGAACGGCCCTGGGCGTTGATTGAAAGCCCTGCCCTGCTGGATTCCTCCCTCGGGTGCGTTTCCTCTAAACGACTTCGCCTGTCGGGGTGATTACTACGGGGGTGGATTTTCCGCCCTCTATATTCTGGGGTTTCTGACTCCTGAGGTCCAGGCAGTCCAAATCGGGTCGGAGCAGACGGGGTCGTATGATCTCGCCGCACCGCCGGTGCATTGGCGATGCGGCGCGATCCCGAGCCCGCTCTGTTCTGTCCCGGCACCGCAGGTCTACCTCCGATGGGCCCTTCTCTCTCCGCTCTGCGGGGCTGCTTTGAGCTGGGGAGAGGCTGCCCACATCCACCGCCTGTTGCTACTGCTCCATGCTGTCCAGGCGCTGCTTATCTTGTCGCGCGCCTCTTGCGACGCATGTACAACTGTATGCATGCATGCATACATGCATGCATACGTACG